AAACAGTAGTATTAATATTAGTATGCGTTTCGGTGCGAGAAACCGCTTCCCATGTAAACGGTAATAGTAGTAAAAGTTATGGTGTAAGTAGTAGTAGTTGCAGTTGTGGCGACAGCAACATTAGAAGTAGTAAAAGTCATGGTACTCACACTGGCAGCATTCCCAGCTTCCGTGGTAATGTAGCAGGGGTCTTTGTGGTAATATACGTTGCAGAAGTGACAATACTAATATTATTATCATTAGTAACGGTAGTAGGGGCGGTAGCGGCAGTAGTAGAAGCAGTAATAATAGTGACACTAATTTAGAGTTAGTGTTAGGAGACTAGAATGGGTCTCCTCCATTGAATTTAGCGCATGACCACCTGCAATTGTGGGAGTGGGAGTTTTAATTCCAATTTACAGCGGCGACATGCCGATGATGACTGACGCCCTGTTTTAGGTACCAATCAAATCTGCTAGCAGAAGGGATCACGTTGTGGCCGCTTGAAAGGCGCTCGTACAGTTTGGCAAATTGAATTCCAATACACTTACCACACAGAACCAGCACGAAGGCCCTGCATTGCATACAAGGCCTTGTCCAGATCCTGCGTGAAAATGCCAGCAGCAAGGCCGTAGATGGAGTCATTGGCACGCTCCAGGACCTCCTCCATGGTCTTGAACTTTGCAATCTGCATCACTGGACCGAAAATCTGAAATTGATCATCAAACACATCTCAGGCTTGCAAGAAGACGCGAACAGGGAGGTATAAGATACTTGTCGAAAATGAGACAACTAAGCAGGATGCAGTGTAGGCAACAGCCCTCACCTCCTCTCGGGAGATCTTCATGTTATCCTTCACGTCTCCAAACACGGTGGATTGGATGAAGTAGCCCTCACGATCAAGCTTCTTGCCGCCAGCACAGAGTTTAGCACCTTCCTTCTTGCCCCAAGCGATGTAGTCCAAGATCTTGTTCATCTGCGTCTCGTCCACTTGAGGACCCTGTAGAGAGACAAGGAAACTGACAGAGATGACTTCGTCAGACTGAGTAGTTCGTTGGTTCAAAATAGATGTAATGCCGAACGGAAGATATCTTACAGTTCCCGCCTCTTGGCATTTACATCAGGTTTCCAAACATATATACTTAGCAATCATGTACAATTAAGTCAGCCTAGTAGTTATTCTGGTGGATTCTAGATGATTGCTTAGGA